TTTTTCTTTTTTTTTTGGGGGGGGGGGTCGAAGGCTTGACATACGAAATCTATTAGGACTAAATTGCAAATACAACAAGACTTGCGGTTCCTCCTCCATCTTGAGATAATCACAAACTCGCCCCCATTGTAGTTGAAGCCCTCCCTCGTCCTCTCTCTCTCTCTCTCTCTCTCTCTCTCTCTCTCTCTCTCTCTCTCACACACACACACACACACACACTCATTCTCGCACCTCCACAGAAACCCTAGAAGCGATTGTTCGTTCCTTTCATAGCCTTTGAAGGTTGTCTCGACACCATGTAAGCTTATCGCGTTTTTTGCTAAGTTTTGTTACTCTCTTTATTCCTTTGTTCTGTCAATTCTAGGGTCTCGGGTGGAATTTTGCCGTGCGCTGCCGTTGTTTCTCAAGATGACGATGAGCCCAAAAGCGGGTTTTCTGAGACATATACCATTTTACAGTTTTGTGTTGCATCTTGTGAATCACTGGGTATACATTCTCGTTGAATTAGTTTAGGGTTTTTTAGTAGGCTTGGTTCTATGGGCTACGAGGTGGAGGTATAGCAGAGGCCTTGAGTCAAGTTTCTTTAGTTGGTGTTCTTTGAACCAAATGATTGACCTTTGTCTACCGACGACCGGGCATTTTTACCTGTCGGAGGGCTGTAAGTTAAAAGTTATGTTGTATTGTATTCTCGAACAACAGAAAGTTACATTCTTTGGGTTTTACGTGGTGTGGATTTTTGTTTTTTGTTGCTTGAAACTAGTTTAATCGGGGTTTGAATGGAATCATTTCTTATATTTTCCTGGGTTCGGGTCATGGGGTACATTTGCTGGAAGAATTTTGAGAATAAGTTAGAACTACATGGCATTTTTACTGTGAGACAGAGTTGTCATTTTATGTTTTCCTCTGGCACTACTTGTTGTGTTGGCTGAGCTAATACCTTCTCTGTGCGTTCTTGATGAATCCCTTTGATTTCAAATTTATTGATTTTTACGGTTAGTGTAGGTATATTTGTTACTTTCCAACACTTGTTGCTGTGCTGATTCTCTGTCTGGTGAGAAATTTTTGTTTCAGCTCTGTACACATGGCGGAAGCCGAACATCAACAGGGCTTTGTTGAGCACAATGGGGATCAGGTGCCGGATGAAGGGTTGGATCAAGTTCATAACGGGATACCATATCAGATGCATGACCAGACCCTTGGCCACCAACCATACGAGGTTCAAGATCAGACACTTGAACCACAGCAGTATGAGGTTCAAGATCAGATAGATTACCAGCAATACCAGGGGCAGGATCAGGCTCATGAAGAAGTACAAGATCAGTCTCAGGACCAGTTGCAGTATCAACCACTAGATCAAGAGCAGTATCAGCTGGAAGATCAGACTGAAGATCAAACGGAGTATCAGGTGGAAGGTGAGGCACAAGATCAGGCTGGTGATCAAGTGCAAGATGGAACGGCAGAGCACGAAGGCATTCCT